CCAGGTGAAACCATCAATAACGCGAGAAATTCTTAATTAATTGCCGCATATGGTGGCTAATTAAATGCGATACACGCCACGACGCTGGCGGCAGACATGCCTCCCGCATCGTCCTTCCGCTTTTTCTCTCCTCTCCACACGCTTCCCTCCATTCCTTTATTTTATCCCTTTCTCCTTTTCCGTCTCCCCCCCCCCTCTCTCTCTCTCTCTCTCTCTCTGTCTCGCTAATATATTTTTCTCTCATTCTATCCGTGCGCAATTTAATTTTTAAAATAATTTGCCAATTTATATATAAATGCATTTGGATAAAAACCAATAAAAATCTGTATGATTATCTTCATTTAGCCGTTGCAAAAGTGAATGAAAATATTTTCGTACGTAATGATCATACATAACAATTAAATATTATTAACAGGAACAAAAAAGAAATATATACAAATATGTTTACAATTCCATTATTATATCCAATTAAATTCTATAAATTTATGTATTTATTTCTCTATATATTAATGCGATTCTCTTTGTTTTCATAATTACACAATTCGATAAATTTAAACGTTAATATCAAAGAAAGACCGCAATACGAACGTCGCACTTTGTTCATGTTAAATTTTGTGAAACGTTTTCTTTTGACGTTAATAATGATGCATTTGAAATGTTGCTTTATCCAGACCTGCGTGCACCCGTTGGTACGTGCACGACGTTGTAGCTTATGGCAAGAGCGAGAACATTGGCATGCAACCTGACAGGTCACGACAGAATGTTCTTGGCATCCCAACGGCAGCAGATTGAAGCCGTGCACGAAGCAGCCGTCGCTGTCATGGCCACGGGGGATCTTCTAGTATCGAATTTTTTTTATATCTTGGATTCCTTTGAACGCTATTGTTAGATATAACCTGCTATGCACGCTAAATATTCCAAGGGGTCAACAACTACTCGGACTTGCACACAAACGCGTCATAGATTTTTATATTTAACCGTTTTGCTTAATCGTAAAACAAAAAGCTTTTGAAATAAAATTAAACAAAAAAGCTTAAAAACGTTTAACACATTAAGTGTCATATAAAATAGTCACACATTTAGAAATGTACTGCATTCAATGAAAGGTAACAATTATAAATTCATAAAGAGACCCGATTAATGTAATTATTGAACTGTACATGTAAAATTATAATTATTTTCAATAATTTGTATATTTTTAATAATTTATTGTGTAATTATTAAATAAATTATCGTTTTATAATAATTTCGCATTCGTCATCAACAGCTCTTTGTTTGGCAGAAGATTAATCTCTTTTTAATAAATGCTAATCTGTTCTCTTTACGTCTATCTTATTTAATTCTTTCTCCTGTAAGTTTTTTTTTTTTTCCAGAAAGATTCTCACGGAAGATTTATAAGATTTTCAGATTTTCTTTATTGTCCTTTTTATTTGCGATAAGCTACTGTTATTAAAGTTACTATTATCAAGTAGTTATACGTACATATGAAAATGAACTCAACCGTATTTTATTACTCGCATCTCAGATTTCTTTCCGGTCCGATATTCATACAGGACACAGGCAGCCGCTGAACTGTAGGCATCACGGAAAATGAATCGTCGCTCGATCCTCGTCGCTCCGAGCTCTCGCATGCACCTCTCCACGCATCGATGCGTGCATTCGAAACGCCGGAGAGACTTCTAACGCTCGACGGCGGCGAACGTTACAAGGAGAGTTACCCGGTCCCGGATGACTCGTTAATAAACCGCCGCGGTTTGGCTTGGCTTGGTATCGCGTGTCACGAAATTCCATTTGTCTGACTCATATGTGAGAGAATGCACATATCACGCGAACACGCGTTATTATGCTCGAGCGCGTGCGTTTATCCGTACACATCATCTACGTACACGCGAATATATTCTATCTAAGATGCACCCGATATCGATCGTGAGACGCTCGATCGCTGTCAACGTACGAATTGTGTCGAACTGTCGAACATCGGACGCGAAATCAATGTTGTGACATATTCCGTTTTATTTTAATCAAAACATACAAAAATTATATTAAAAAATAAATATTAACAATAGAATGTTACATAAAATTCTCAAAATTTCTCAAATATCGGACACAAAATTGACTTTATTACATACGCATGTATTCCATTTTAATTGTTAACTCAAAACATACAAAAATTAAATTAAAAAAAAATAATAAATTCATATTACATAGAATCCCTACAATTTTATTAAGTATATTACTGTGTTTACATACTTGCAAAGATAAGATAATCATTACAAATTATAATTATTATAATTATAATTTAATTTATAGTTTGAAAAGATCAACGCACGTGTATAATTATCACATGTTTAAACATCTCTCGTACAAATTCATCATATCATCAGATTTGAAAGGATGATTTCGGACTAAGGTTAAATATTTAATCATTCAAATTATAATGAGAGCCGTTATGAACTTATAATCTTCGTAACACCATGACGCGAGTAGACCATGATAGAACCTGTCGACCGAAAAGCAATCAGTGCAATCAACACAAGGTAATAATTGAGCGGCTTAATAGGACCGGCGCGTGATCTTAAACACGTGTTTCGAACGCGAGCGGAAGAAGGTGAACGTACCTTTACAACGTCGCGGATACTGTTCTTCGGCCTGCTCGTTCGAGGCTGGTACAGCAGGCTAGTTACACGTTCGCGTGCTTTCCACTCACGTGAGTGCCGCGTAATGCTTAATATTTCACTTAGGAACGCGCGAAACGCCGGCCGCTTTTCACGATTATCTGCTTGTCGACCATATTTAAAGACACACGTATCGTTTTGACCGTAGAAAAATATGTAGAAATCAAACAACTCGATCTGTCCTTGATAAGAACTTAGCGAGAAGAATAACCATTGAACGTAATAATTTTCTTACGTATGCAATCTTTACTTGCACGTGGCCACGTATAATGTAAATGCGAGTTCCGATCTGTTATGTAATCAAGCGGCCTTTCGTGTTTGAGAAGGTAGTAACGTATGTCGGAAAAAGTCAGAAGGTAATGTACATACAATATCCCATCTGCTTCGAAACGTTTACTCCCCATTAAAACGTTTCCCGTGTCAGCAGGGAACGTAATCGTACAATAAAACGGCAGTTATATTTCTATAGAACATTGCACGATATATTCGCGCGAAGTTTGCCTTTTACACGGACAATGTTACGCGGAACTAAGCTAGCTGACAAAATTTTAAAAAATGTATATCATGTTGCGAACCGGCAACATAAAACGCCGCTTTAAACCTAATTTATTCAAAACAGGCTCGTGATGAGTTAGCTCGTTTTTACGTAATATCGAGAGTAAAATAAAAGAGAGAAGCGCAAGGAAACGCAAAGGAAATTATGAAAGGCTATTAGTCATTTACATCGTTATTCTCGTAAAGAAGTTATCTATGGTGCACGCCCTTCTCAGCGAAAGGGCTAATTAGACGAGAGCGTACCGGAAGATTAGAGCGACCGCCCGAGTCTCCTCTTCCTCGTCTTCGCCAAGTAGTAACGGTAAATCGAGATCAGTCAACCTCCGGGCGAATCGAACGACAAAGATGACGATGACGATGACGACGAGCGATACGTTCATGTTATCTCTTCGTGAACATTCGTGCATTTACATTTACAACAGCGTATTATTCTCGACGCTTAAATTGCCGCTTCGATGTTTGCGCGTATAGGAGAAAATTTCTCCGATAGTATAATCCGCGAATGGTGGACAGGTCTAATTTATGGAAGGCAACTAATGGAGTGGAATCGGCATATTGGCCAGTTCGATATGTAGAATAGGCAGAACTAGCGCGATTACACAGCGAGCCGTAATTAATATTTAACAGTATCGTGGGTGAAGATTTGCACAATGCGAGCACGCGTTAACGAGCAATCGCGTAATCCGAAGCAATGATATAACCCACCGTAGGCTGTCCGGTTGATGAAAAAAAAAGAAGAGAATAGTTGCGTTATTATCCATTACAAAGCAACACCGGGCGCATATCGCAACGCAGGCCGGTTTTAGGTGGGTGGTGATACTCCATAATGTATAGCGCGATTTCCATATCGGCCATCGAATGACAATAAGCGTTCCTTGAGCACCTCGCGCTGGATGCTTGTATCTCACAAATTTCACGTCATGCTTCATCGTACTTATCTCGACGAGAAAAGTAAGTCTAAAGTGGAATAGGGAAGTAATGCCCCGGGTGGAAATAGCGATGTATCCAAAGAAAATCTGAGAGACAAACAGCATCGTTCTTGTCTGATTGTGAGATATATTATATAAGAAATGTTCCGCGTAAAATTGAATGAAGCTAAAAACTGATTTGGGTAAAATCCAATTCTTCGTTTTTCCCAGAGTCGAAATATATAAAGTCAAACATATAAAGTCTTGCAAATAACACGCGGTAAGTTTGTAAGCTAAATTTAAATTTGCCTATATATTTCAAGAATAAATATTTGTCGTGTGCAATGCAAGCAAACGCACTGTTAGAAACGAACTGTTTGCGAATTTACAATACCCTTATAATAAAAACGTGCAGTAAATTACAAGCCATATAACGTTTTGCTGTGATTTCACGATATTTGTAAATTTACAAAAGTGGCATGCCCGCGCATACGTATTAGAGATTTGCATATACTTTACCACATAGCGTTAATGTAATTTCACGATATAGATATGTTTTAATTTACAGCACATTTAATTTACATTTTTTGTCGGATAAAAACTTCCAACGCTTTTGGAAGTTTTCAACAGAAATTTCTTACAGTGAAGTCGATCATCAATGATGCGTGCACACATCGAAGAAAACGCGATTTGGCGGGTAAAGACGGATCGCACCGTTACGTTTTCGTCGGCGCGAATTCGTAGAAAAACCATCGATCCTACCGTCTCGATAAATCGATACCACCGACGGCGCGCAGCGTGCGTCATAAATAATTTATCTTGCAAGGCTAGCACGTTGTACAAAGGGAAGGGGTTTACTCACCATAATCGGAGCGCGATCTCGCCGCTCGGATGCAGAAGAAGGTGATCCGCCGACCGCAGCATCTGCAACGAGAAAGAAAAATCTCTTTCATCCGCGCTAATTCACCGTTAGATCAATCGGCGCGATATGCTTCCGGCACCGCGCACGCAAACGCGATGCTGATAGACTGAAGGCAGGAGGGGGGGGGGGGAAGGAGATTGGACAAAAAAATCAGGAGATTGGAAATATCGTAAATTTCAGAATGGCAGAGAGCACAGAATGTGAACGTGATAAAACTGGAATCTCCCTCGTGCGAGAAAAGCGCGCTACTCCGCGCCTCATCGTCGTCAATAAAATCGCAGAAAGGACGACGCTGACCTCTCCAAGCAGCACGGATGCGACGACGACGACGACGACGACGACGATTCCCCGCGGACTCCGCAAGACATCGCAGTGGACGCTACTACCCCGGGTTGTTAACGTGAGGATATTTCCACGGGGAAATGGTCTCGCACGGCGTGCCTTCCCGCGAGATTATCTCTACTTCAAGATCATTGAGGATCGCATAAATAAAGCGCAATTCAAGAAACGAGCGAGCTACATTTGCTACAGTCGGAGGGAAGAAAAAGAACGAAGGGCAGAGAGTAAAAATGAGATCCAGATTCTCTCTGGTTTCAACGCGTCTCAAAGCAGTACGTAAACACGTGTACCGGGAAATTCCAGTTTTACAGATGTTTAAAGTGAAAGGATATTTTTTATAAAGAATATTAGAGAATATTTTCGTCAAGAAACTAGGTTAAAGAGCTTGTAGATAAAAACAAGTACAAAGAACTTAGTGCCAGAATCTATATTTCGGTCAGAAACTGATTTTGCTAACTTATATCTTTATTAACACATATAAAAAATAAGAGCATAAAAAAACCACAGCACAACTTATAGTTTGTGATATTTAATTATTATTACATTAATTAAAACATTAAACGTTTCGGCCATAATCTGGCCATCTTCAGTAATTCAATAATATTCTTAAAACGTAGAGTTACATCTAGTTGACATTAAATTCAACAGTCGAGAGTCGTAATTGAATAAACATGTTCTTTTATATGTGAAGATGCTTCATACAGTAATGTTACAACGCCAATTTCATATTAAGAAAAGTGTAGAACAAGAATTTCCAGATTCTGTTTTACAGCAAAAAAACCAAACGATGAATCTCGAGTATTTCTTTTACACAATTAGAATTTTGTCGTGACATTATGTGTTGTTATTTTGCAAATAATTATAAAAGTTATAAAATGGTTTAATGTTTTAATTAATGTAATAATAATTAAATATCACAAACTATAACTTGTGCTGTGGTTTTTTATGCTCTTATTTTTTATATGTGTTAATATTAGAACCACGTTAGTTTCAAGATATATATATCTTTATTATTTATCTTTATAGGATAGGAAATAGTGCGCACAGAAAAAAAATTAATTGGGTGATACAGCAAACCTATAACTTACTGCTCGAATTCAACATCTGTAACTAAGAAGATTTGATGGTTTAACAAATCGCTAATGTTATTCAGCTGTCAACTACTTTAACATAGAAAATTGACTGTCTGTATATTACGACGTAATGTAGATTTGCTGAATCAATGAAGTTTTCCGTTTTTTTTTTCTGTGTGCCTAAAATTTGATGCAAGAAATACAATAAAATAGTGAATTATGACAAATCTCACTTAAGAAAAGCTATAAGATATTAAAAATAGACTCTCATTCCCTAAAACTAACTAAATTAACTATTGTTTTAAAGGAACAAATATTACGTTAGAAGAGAATATTACGAGCCCTTCGGGAAGACGAAGCCTTCCCTTAAAACGTGCGTGTCGAACGAAACCACACCAGCCGACTTTTTTCCGGGAACCGTTCGGGAATCGTGCAGGAAATCGTAGTTCGTAGGGAAGAACCATCGCATCGGTTCCGTTCGGGCAACCGGAATTAGCGTCGTTTATTTTTCCAGTCTCGAAAATCTTAAGTTCAGACTGTACCATGCTATCGCTCCTTCGCAGCCGCGAATTAGTACGCTATAATTTGGCCACGGCGCACATTAATCTTCTTATCGTTCGACAAGGAAATAAACCAATCCCTGGCGTGCCTCGTAAAATATATTACTGCAATATGTATATTCGCGTGGAATGTATATACATGTATTATTAAATAATTTCGTTTCGCCTAACAATGGTAAGAAGCGTGTGAATAAGCGTCACTCGATATCCTAACGCGTTTTTTCAGGTCTTCGTTATTAGTTCTTTCGACACGTGGTAGTTTAAGATTTCCATTCACACGATCGTTAGAGATCAGCCTTGAAGCGCTTTATAGCAGCTTCGAGTTCGAATATTTGCCGCTCTCTCCCGACAAAATCAACACGTTGAAAACAGGCGGCTGCGCGTAAAATTCCACTGGCATCGCTAAACGTAAGTGATATACGTATAAAGAGAGGCTCTTGTGTCGTCTTGTGAGAATTACGATTTAGCTTGCGAGTAGCGCGAGTAGCGTTACACGATACGATCATTATCGTCGCGGACTTTTCTAGACTGTTAAACCTGCGTGACAGCGGCGTAACGTTATAAAATCAAAGGAGGATAAGGAGCGCCGTGCGAGATAGGCGACGTGCATAATAGTGTCGGATGATAAGAAGATAAGAGCCTTAGAAGCGTGTATACTCGGTGTCAAGTTTTCGTATCACATGCTTAGTTGGTCTTAGATTACGACTAACGATACTTATGGGAATCGACGGGCTCACTTTCTAGACGGTAGAATTAAACGCGTACGCAACAGACAGAACAATACATACTCGACGAAATGCTTAATGAAAATCTTTATGAGACGCGAAACCTTCTCTTCCATTTATACAAATTAACTCTTCATGATACGAGGCTTTAAAGATCTAGATGATTTTCAATTTTCAATTATTCTGCCTCAAATTCGGATACGTACAAAAAAAGTGAACAACGTTACGGATCGTATCATTGATGTATTCTTGAATGCGGAGTATGTCAGAATTTTTTCAGATATTATTTTTTTTTTAGAGTTCAAAAACCCTTTGAAAAACACAGACACCAATGACCCAGTTGGATTAGAAAGGCAGTGAAAAAAAAAACAACGGGCCACGGAGTATGGTGTAGAATTGTATTATGAAACTATCATAATTAATGACTTTATGAGACAATATACTAAAAATATGAAGCTAGATAAGAAAGATAAAAATACAATTATTTCATCATATTTATGTAAAAAAGAAATTGTAGCAAAGAATACTTAAAAAAAATGGTAAACTATTTTTCGCGTTTTGTACACACTCAAAAAGAGGACAAGACTGCTATAAAATATTTATGAAGTTGCTTTGTGCTGCCAAATTGAGGCGAAACGATGAGAAGGTTGATGCTTGCAGATGCATTCGAAACTCTGTCATGTAGGTCCATAAAGTCCCCGTTATTCCAGCACTAGCAGGTCGCTATTATCGCCGTTGTTATTATTGCGGTGTCCAATACGAACCGCATAACAATAACCGTCCGTGCACAAAACGTCGAGTAATGACTTCAATTTTAAATTAGCATACATGACTGACGGGCTCATCAATCCGCTTACGGTGTCAAAGTCTACAGTAACGCGTTGGTCAACACCTGTGCTTTTATTAAAACTCCATTGAAATAATTTAATTACAGATAATGATCGCTCGAAATTCTGGAATTAATAAACGGCCGATAAACGCGCGCTCGCAAAAGTTTTAATAATTAATAAATGATACACGGAACGACAATTTCATGACACCAAACGTCGTTACTGCGAAAGTGGATTGACCCAAATTATAATCGATTTAACGTCGCGACTACGTTGTTTTTACGTTACAGACTTTTCATCGTTTTCATATACATGCCACTGTTGTCAATGATACGCGGCAACATATATCGATCTTAGAAATATTAATACACATCATTACTAAGCAAAGCGATAACTGGACATGGTATATAAACCTGCAACCCCGCATCCATCGCCTCTGCAATCACGGTACACCGCGCATCTTTGCCGATAAACGACGACAACGGCGAGTATAACGGCGACAACGGTAGCGTGTAAAACGCGGGCGTGCTTATCCGTGGCGCGGGGAGATTTAATCTGACCGGCTATTATATACGTGACGTACAATAACGTCCGCTCTCGGTCTGCGCGATGCTTACAGAGCGAGAGCGAATAGAGACGTTCGAGCGTGCAACCGCGTCGTTTGCCTCGTGCGATGCAAAATCGATACTCGACCGCGCCGAGCCGAGCCGAGCCGAGCCGCGCGCCGGCCCTCGCACTGACCTATCGGGAGCATCGGGTAACTGGGTGAACCTTGTAGGAAGGCGATAATAAATTAATCATCTAGTTATCGTGTACATGGGCGTAATGACTATTCTGCAACCTTGCTGCACACATGCCGCCGGATAAGTTTCCTCGATCGGTGGCGCGTAGATTCCTACGCTCTCATCTTTCCTAGGAGGAAATACCGTCACGTATATACGTAGATCGAAATAGAAACACGAAGCGCAAAATAAGAGAACCCGACGCGACGTTCCCTGCAATTTACATGGAAGAATTGTTTATTATTGTATATGTAGCGCCTCCATTATCATCAACGGATCTGCACGACCACCGACTTAATATCGCGTACGATCGGAATTATCTAATAATTGTAGCTTGTCTCTGATTTATGTGTATACACTTTTCGAAATCGCCTTAATCACGCGAGACCTCGAAACGCTCGTAACAACAACAACGCATTTAAGAACGAACGCACAAGCGATAACCGGCCTGTGTTCACGCACGTTCGCGTTTATACGTCGTGTACGTTTTGATCGAAAAACGAGAATGAGACGAGTAGTAATCTCTACGGAGAATTTTACGACTAGACGGATTTTACGTATCTCATAGGCTTCGCCTTGTTATATAGTTTCCTACGCCGCTGTACGTCAGCCGTACCGTATATACTCGTGTCCTTTTAAAGGCGCATTCACACGTGCCTCGGCCCTCAGCCCGGGAAGGGCCTTTTCCGAAGG